GCCGGGCGCCCCCCCCGGACGCCGGGGCCCCGCGGTGCGCCCCACCTGCGCCACGAGCCGCTGGTTCTCGCCGAGCCACGTCTCGCGCAGGGCGGCCTTGCGGTCGAAGCGCGCCGCCAGCTGCTCCAGCTTCTCCTGCCGGATGAGCTCGTCGCGCAGCGCCAGCTCCCGCTCGTGCTCCGCTTTCTCCAGCCGCTCCCAGGCCTGCGGTGGGGGGGGGCGCCCCGTGAGCCCCTCCCCGGCGCCAGGAGCACCCTGGGGCCCCCCCGGGACGCCCCGCGGCACCTTGTTGATGTCGGAGAGGAGCTTGCCGTCGCGCGGCACGTAGGCCTTCTGGTTGTTGGCGCGCATGCGGCTGCGGATGGTGAAGAGCAGCACCTCCAGGTTGCCCTTCTCGGTGAAGCTGCGGGGCGCGGGCAGGGGGCTCAGCGGCGCGGGGGGCCCGGGGGGGCTCCCCGCCGCCGCCGCTCACCGGGGCGGCTTCTCCACGGTGCGGTAGGTGTTGAAGGCATGCAGCTGGCTCTGCACGCCGGCCAGCGAGTTGGGCAGGTGGCGGTCGTCGAGCGCGGCGCGCGTCTGCGCCAGCCAGTGCAGCAGCTCGCCCGCCAGCGCCTCGTAGCGCTCCACGAGCCGCTCGGCGCCCAGCGCCGCCTCCAGCACCTGCGGCGGGCTGCGCGTCCCTGCGTGCCCACGGGGGTCCCTGCGTGCCCATGGGTGCCCCTCTGTGCCCGCGGGGGTCCCTGCGTGCCCACGCAGTCCTGCGTGCCCGCGGGTGTCCCTCTGTCCCCGCGGGGTCCCCTGCGTGCCCCTGGGTGCCCCTCTGTGCCTGCGGGGTCCCCTGCATGCCCGTGGGGGTCCCTGCGTGCCCATGGGTGCCCCTCTGTGCCCGCGGGGGTCCCTGCGCGCCCACGGGTGCCCCTCTGTGCCCGCGGGGTCCCCTGCGTGCCCATGGGTGCCCCTCTGTGCCCGCGGGGTCCCCTGCATGCCCGTGGGGGTCCCTGCGCACCCACGGGTGCCCCTCTGTGCCTGCGGGGTCCCCTGCGTGCCCATGGGTGCCCCTCTGTGCTCATGTGTCCCCTCTGTGCCCATGGGTGCCCTGCATCCCCACGTGTCCCCTGTGTGCCCATGCATGTCCCCTGCGTGCCCATGGGTGACCTGCATCCCCATGGGTGTCCCCTGTGTGCCCACAGGTGCCCCTCAGTGCCCACGGGTGTTCCCTACATCCCCACGTGTCCGCTGCATGCCCATGGGCGTCCCCTGCGTGCCCATGAGTGTCCCCTCTGTGCCCGCGGGGGTCCCCTCCGCCCGGGCCTCCCGGCCTCCCCTGGCGGCCTCCTCGCCCAGCCGGGCCTCCAGCTGGCCTTGCCTGCCCCTTGGCCCGCTCTGCTCGGCCGGCCCCTCCTCCCAGCCCCCCGGGACCCCCTTTGTCCCCCTCCTTGTGTCCCAGGGGGGCTGGGACCCCTTTGTCCCCACCCTGGACCCCGTCCGGCCCTGTTTGTCCCCCTCCTTGTGTCCCAGGGGGGCTGGCCCCCTTTGTCCCCACCCTGGACTCCATCCAGCCCCGTTTGTCCCCCTCCTTGTGTCCCAAGGGGATCTGGCCCTGTTTGTCCCCATCCTTTTGACCCAGGAGGTTGAACCCCGTGCGGCCCCGTTTGTCCCCCTCCTTGTGTCCCAGGGGGGCTGGCCCCCTTTGTCCCCATCCTGGACCCCGTCCGGCCCCGTTTGTCCCCCTCCTTGT